GGTACGTTATTGTTACACCACGAAAAGCTCTTTCGAGGTATGAAGGCTAAAATTTTCTTCTTATATCGGAATTTCCATGTTCTTCCAAAACTCCATTGTGTGTAATTCGAACTTGAAACACCATTGAGATGGGATATTCAAGCTAGTTAATTGATTCCCAAGTTTCATAAGGTGTCAAAAACCTCGTGTATTATTGATTCTCTATTTCGATTTAATTATGTTATACCTCTTTTGGGAAGAAATCATTGTACGAAATTATTGTGGTCAAATTCTTATATCTCATATGATGAAATCTTATGGGCGTATATTTTTTAAGGACAAAGGTGCCAAAGAGTTTTATTTGAAAGGAATTATTTTGTACAACTATTATATTTTTGAGAATACAAATTGTGGCATTGGGATTCACCTCCACCCGCATATATTGGGGTGAGGCAGTAGGGCCGCTTTGTGTAGAGATTGTGGCATTGTGATACACCTCCAACCACACACATTGGGGTGAGGCGGCAGGGCCGCTTTGTGTATAGATTGCAGTACTAGTCCTAAAAAGGATAAGTGGTCGCTGCATATATAATCCGGTCTAAAAGTACGGAGTCGAATCCCATAGAGAACTAAGGCTTAGCTATATCTGTTTAATATCACTAAGAAAACAAGTTTGAACAATTTTCTAAATTATAAAGATTGAGATTTGTATTTCTAACTAATTAACTAGCAAATATTATAAAGCGGTAAAATTATCAACTAACGAGACAAAGGGTTGGAGACTAAATTAAGGAGGCCTAGAGTTATGATTTCCCCAATTGTCGAAATCCTTCTAGCTATGTTCCCTACAATTTTGCCAATGTATTCTCTACTGATCGTAAGCACTTTAGGTGTCGTAATTCTCTCTCGAGCAACTACAACAATTTACTAGATATATTCTCTTGAACTACGCTAGTTGTCTTCATCTAACCGCTCATTATGACCACGTCAAGGCTTTGTTATTTCTAAACCTGCCTTTAAACCCTCTGTATTGATTTCTTACATACGTTAGGAGTGGTGTTGTTCAACAACTACCTAAATATATATCCTTTCCCAAGAAACACATAATAAATAGTCACAGTCAATCGATGGTCATTCAATCAACAACAATAAACACGTAGTTGAACAAGTAGAGAAATCCAATGGCTCAATTATATAAAAACATAACAAGAATTTATCCTACAAAAGGTTCCATCAAAACCCTAGATAACAAATTAGCTATTCATAATAGTATGTAAAACTACAATACTAAAAGTCATAACTAACAATGAAAAAAATAGGAAGAGGAAGGAAAAACTCGTTGAAGAATTTCCCGCCTTGCTCCTATTATGTCTCTGCCTCCTTAGGTCGAATCTCCGGTCTCCTTAGCCTCCTTAGGTCTAGATTATCTCAAAAGTATGTCAAAGGTCTTCAAAATACCGTTTTTCTATGTATATATACCAAGTAGGGTTGGGCCCAAACAATTACAGCTTCTCCTACACGAAAAAGGACACATTTTCCCGATAGGACGTGCGTGGCCGCGCTCAGACCACGCATATCCACTTTGATTTTGCCTGACGAGCGTGGGCTGAGCGCGGTCGCGCACTTGACGTGCACTTTTCACCCTGTTCTGTTGGGAATTTGAAAAAACGTAAAACATGAAAGTTGTAGCTTGAGTTAGCTTCCCAACCATATATTGTGGAGCCCAAATTGAGTTTTGAGCGAAAAGTTATGTGAATTTTACTAGACAGTGCACAATATACCTACATGGTGCTATAACTCCACTACCTATAAAAACACACTCGTTAGTCTGCCTTAATATAAAAAAAAACTAAAACTGGACTAAATCTATACTACAAATTGGGATGCCTCCCAATAAGCGCCTTAGTTAACGTCATGTCATAACGACTACAACACGACCATGGGTTGCTTCCCAGGAAACACCTGATTTAATGTCGCGGCATGATGCAGGCTTGTAGGATTACACTTCGCTAACATATTGGGGCTCTTCCAAGTATGTCACAACTTTCTCCCCTTTTTCTTCAATCTTTCCAAAGTAGTATTTCAACCTTTTCCCATTCACTTTAAACATGTTCGTTCCATCTTCGGACTAAATTTCTACCGCTCCACTTGGGAACACTTGAACAACTCTAGATGGTCTCGACCATCTAGATTTCAGCTTACTCGGAAATAATCTCAATCTCGGGTTGTATAACAACATTAGATCTCCGGGTTTTAAGTTCCTATCTAGAATGTTCTTATCATGCATAATCTTCATCCTTTCCTTGTACAATCTTGTACTCTCGAATGCCTAGAACTGGAACTCTTCGAGTTCATGTAACTTTGTAACTCTATTTGTGCCTGCAGTTTTCATATACCAACTTGTACGGAGACATACCAATTGAAGTTTTAAATGTTGTCCAATAAGCCCATAAAGCATAATCCAGCTTCCTTGTGCATTCACTGTCCTGGTCAGGACATTTTTGATTTTCTTATTGGACACTTCCACTTGGCCACTCGTTTGTGGGTGGTAAGGTATGGCAACCTTATGGAGAACTCCATACTTTTCTAACAGCCTTGCGAACGCTCTATTGCAGAAATGAGTTCCATCATCACTAATTATAGCTTTCGGAGTGCCAAACCATGTAAAAATATTTTACATGGGAAATCCTATCACTCATTTGGCACCATTTGTTGGAAGAGACACAACTTCAACCCATTTGGAGACATAGTTAACTACTACCAATATGTATTTGTTATCATACGAGCTGACAAATGGTCCCATAAAATCAATCCTCCACACATCAAACACGTCCACCTCTTGAATTGTAGTCATCGACATCTAATGATGGCAAGATATGTTGTTGTTTCTTTAGAATTCATCACAACATTTCACCCAGGAAAGGGCATCCTTGAATAGAGTCAACCAATACGAACCCGACTCCAAAACCTTCGTTGCTATCTGAATTCCTCCAAAGTGCCACCATATGGTGAATCATGGTAGGCCTGCAAAATGGAAGATTGATATTTCTCAAGGATACACCTCTGGATCATGTTATCCGCACATATTTTATAAAGTAAAGGTTCATCCTAGTAATTAGACCGATAATTACAAAAGAAATTTTTCTTTTGAATCAAAGAGAATTCATAAGGTACAATACTGCTTGCCAAATAGTAAGCAATATAGCATAAAAAGGCATCTCCTCCATTGCCACTGCAAGTAATTATTCATTCGAGAATATCTCTGTTATATCTTCAACCTCTACATTCTTTCCAGCTCCCTCCAGCCTTGAAAGGTGGTCTGCCACTTAGTTCTCCGTTCTTTTCCTATCACGAATCTCCAAATCGAATTCTTGTAGAAAAAGAACCTAACAGATTAAGCATGGCTTTGACTCCTTCTTTGCTATCAAGTTCCTAAGTGCTACATGGTCAGTATAAACAATCACATTTGAATCTATTAAATAAGACTGGAATTTGTCCAATACAAACACCACAACTAACATCCCTTTCTCAGTTACGGCATAATTGAGTTGCGCACCATTTAGCGTTTTGCTTGCATAGTAGATTGGATGCACAATTTTGTCCTTTCATTGCCCAAAACCTGCTCATATAGCATAATTGCTTGCATCACACATGAGCTCAAATGGCTGCTCCCAGTCGGGTGCAACAATGATTGGTGCAGTCACCAGTCTCTTCTTCAACTCCTCAAATGCTAACCTGCAATCATCAGAAAATACAAAGGGATGATCCTTTTTAATTAGTTACATAAGGGATTAGCAATTTTGGAGAAATCCTTTATAAATTGCTTGTGGAAAACCAATGTGCCCAAGAAAACTTCTTACTGTCTTGACCGAAGTGGCTAGTGGCAACTTCTCTATCACATCAACCTTAGCATGGTTGACCTCAATACCCTTACTTGACACTCAATGCCCCAAAATTATACCTTCGTGTACTATAAAATGACACTTCTTCCAATTCAGTAGCATATTTGTCTCCACACACCTTTTCAACACTCTTCTCAAATTGTTAAGATAGTCATTGAATGAATTCACCACCACTAATAAATAATCCATAAAAACCTCCATAATATCTCCAACCATATCAGTGAAAATTGCTAGCCAACCATATCAATGAAAATTGCTAGCATACACCTCTAGAAGTGGTTGGTGCAGTGTATATGCCAAACGACATTTTCCGAAAGGCAAAGATGTCATACGGATAAGTGAATGATGTTTTCTCTTTATCCTTAGGGGCTATTGTGATCTGATTGTACCTCGAATATCCATCCAAAAAGGAAAAGTAAGACCGCCCTGCCAACCTATCTAACATTTTGTCAATGAACGGCATGGGAAATGATCTTTCCGGGTGGCAATGTTCAGTTTTCTGTAATCCATGCAAATTTTCCAAGCCATGACTGTACAAGTAGAGATCAACTCATTATTCTCTTTCAGTACAACAGTCATTCCACCTTTCTTAGGAACACTTTGGACTGGGCTTACCCAAATGATATCCGAGATAAGAAAAATGATGCCCGCATCCAGCCACTTGATCACTTTCTTATTCACCACTTCATTCATGTCTGGGTTCAACCTTCTTTGATTTTCCCTAGATTGCAACACTTATACAAGTTGTTCTACCTACACAGCTAACAAACCAGATGAGATAATAACAGGTAAAGTGGAGTTAGGCCCTAAGAAATGATACCTAAGGTGAGCTGGCAACTGTTTCAGGTCCAACTATGGTGGCTCCTCTATTGACGGCTTCGCAGGTGGTGTTTCTCTTTCTTCTAAGTGTAGTGGCTCAAACTGAGGTTCCCATTTCAAGAACCCTTTACCTTCGAGAGCCATAATTCGTGCCAACTTTTCACCATTCACTTCTTCCAAATTCATCAAACAAGCTTCTAATGGTTCTATGACATTAAAAGTCTCACCCTTCTCTTGTAGTATCACATCAACTGCTTCCACCAACGAACAATTTGCAAATTCGCTCGGCCTCCTCATAGATTATTGAACATTGAATATTATTTCTTCATTATTCAACCTCATTTTCAACTCTCCAGCCTCACAGTCAATCAATGCTCTCTCAGTAGCTAAAAACGGCCTTCCCAAAATTATGGGTATTTCTTCATCAACTTGGTAGTCAAAAATAACAAAATCACCAGGAAATACAAACTTCTCCACTTGGACGAGCACATCATCCGGATTTCCTGTTGGCCTTTTCACTGTGCGATCAGCCAGTTGCAGTAACATTGTGGTTGGTCTAGCTCTGTCAATGCCTAACATTGTGTATATTGCCAAGGGCATCAAGTTGATACTGGCTCCCAAGTCACACAATGCTATAGCAAAAGAATAACTTCCAATTGTGCGTGGGATACTGAAACTACCAGGATCAGATAACTTTTGAGCCATAGGTCTTGTCACTACCACACTACAAGTTTGAGTTAGAGTTTTAGTAGACAGGTCCTGGAAGTCAAACTTTCAAGACATCAAATCCTTCATCATTTTAGCATAATCTGGCATTTCTCTCAAAGCATCCATCAGCGGAATATTCAACTGAATTTGTCTGAGCATTTCCATGAACCTCCTGTATTGACCATCTTTCTATTCCTTTGGCAATCTTTGAGGGAATGGTGCCGGAGGTAGCTTCTGCCCACTGCTCTATGTCTTTTCCTGATTAGAATTCTTTTCCACTACCTGTTTTGGGAACTGTTCAATTTGCTTCTCCTTGCCATTGTCAACTTGTGCTTGTTCAATTCAACCTCTGTGAGCTCGTTAACTCATTGATCTCGAATGGCACTGGAGTAAGCGGTACTGCATCTCTATTAGATTGAGAAACTTTTTGCTTTCTGTCCAAATCCCTTCCGTTCTTGAGACTCACTACTATTAACTAATTTGGGTTCTGCTCTTTTGGATTGATTTTTGTGTCTGCAGGCAACGTTCCTCATAGGAGATTGTTCAAAGCCATGGACAGCTGGCCTAACTGAGTTTCAGTGCCTTTAAAATAGTTGAGTCATGTGTAGCTAACTTTTCTTGCATCATTCCATTTGTCCCAATGATTTGTTGCAGCATGCCCTTAATTTCCATTATATTACTGTCATCCTATCTGGTCACCTGTTGTTGCTGAGGCTGTTGGTAAGCCAAGTATTGTTGGTGCTGCTGGTTGTAACCCTGCTACCTTTGCTAGGGCACAACTTGGCCCTGTAGTCGTGCTTCTCTAGGATTAGTAATGTACTATTGCTGGGTTGGTCTGTATTGCTGATATTGAGGTCCCCATTTTTGTCCACCTTGCCTCTGACCCCCAAAGATTACATACTTAATTCATGTCTTCTTTGAAGACTTAGTTATCATTTTCTCCCCTCCACGAGCAAACATATGACTGATATGATGCAGGGGGTGCATAGGCCTCCATTTGTTGTGTCAACAATATGAACCTATTTCATGTCCATCTCTGTTTCTTTGTCAACAAGCTCATATGGGTCATGAGAGTGGCCATGTTTTTTGAATTTGTATTGTTAGGGTCAAGAGAAACAGATGCACTATTGGGGTGAGTGTTGTATCCCTTTTCATCCAGCCTGAATTTTGAGCCATCTCGTCAAGAAGAATCTAACATTCTGAGAATGATTTGCTTAAGAATGCACCCCGGGTGAAGTATCTACGTTAGCCTTTAGACTGTCAGCCAAACCCATATATAATCTCTGTCCTAGCATCTGATCCGGGATGTCATGGTGTGGACACTTCACCAACATGCCCTTAAACCTCTCCTAGGTTTCTTGCAAGGTTTCAGTTGGTTTCTGCCTGAACTGCAATATCTCATCAATTTGTCTTGCAGTCTTATTGGGTGGATAGAACTTGTTTAAGAACTGCTTGACTAGTTCCTCCCAATTGGCAATGGAGTTTATTGGGAGCAAATTTAACCAAGTTTGAGCCTCCCTAGTTACTGAGAATGGAAACAACAACAATCTGATTTCTTCAGGTGTCTCATTCGTCTATCTTTGAGTGACACAAATTGATAAGAAATTCTTCAGATGTTGATGTGGGTGTTCAATCTGTTGACGTTCTTGACGTCACCCATTTCAATTTCAATTTGTTTATTCTGTTTTAGTTGTTTTCCCTTCTTGTTATCCCTATTCAATGTCCTGAAGGCTTTCTCGAGATCTGAGAGACCTTCAAATAGTTCACCAGTTCTAAAGGAGGTTCTAGGCATGCAACTGAGGCAAGGAAGAATTCAAACATGAGAATTTCAATGGAAATACTTTTAGCACCGCAAAAATTTGATCTAAACTAAAAATTCTAGCATTTCTTTCAAGTTGTAAGGAATAACACCTATAGTTCTCAGGAAACGACACCAAAATTTGATCACGCCCAACTATATCTTATAAAAAAGGACTAAGCGATCGCTGTAAAAATAATCCGGATCAAGAGTCCGGAATCGAATCCCATATGAAACTAACCTATTTGTTACAACTTTTTAGTATCACTAATGATATGCTCAGACAACTTTCAGAGTTCAAGATTTGATTTGTGAATTAACAAAAATTACTTAACTAAGAAAATATAACAATTAAAATTATAAATTAGCAAGAATGAGATTGAATCAAGGATAAAAAGATCTGGGGTTTACGATTTCTTCAATTGTCGGATAAATTCCTGACACGTTAGCTATAATCTCGCTGCAACACTCACTAAAGATGATGAGTTCTTGTTTACCGTAATTATCTCTCAATCTATTACGATAATTTACTAGAAGTATTCTCTCGAACTACTCTAGTTAACAATTCGTACAACTCATAAATATCGCGCCAAAGCTTTGTTATCTCTAATCCTGCTTTTAAATTCAAGTAATTAATCTCTTAACTTACTCAAAAGTGGCGTTGTTCAACAACAATCTAATCAAGTGTTCTTTCTCAAGCAACACAAGATAACTAGACACAATTAATCAAGGGTCCCTTCAATTAAACACAAGAAACACATAGTTGAACAATTAAAGAGTAAAAATGGCTCAATTATATCAAAACACAATCAAGACTTCATCCAACAATTGGTTCCATAAACCCTAAATGACGAGTTTAGCTACTCATAACTGTGTAAATAATCATAGTAATATCTAAGAGCATTAAACTACAAATTAAAGGAAAGCGAAGAGAAAAACTCGGGTGACTCGTGCTTCCAAAGTGTTCCGTACCCTCTTGCCTCTCTAATGATGTCTAATCCTTCAAAAACTAACTTTAAGAGGTATTTATATGGTTGGGGCCGAAGTCTACATGTCCAAAACTAGTGAGGAAATAAAATTGGTTCGGATAGCATCGTCGGCACGAGGCACTGTCAGAGGCACCAACATTTCTGTGCGAGGCACTGTCTGGGGCGCCAATGTTTATGCGCGAGGTACTATCAGGGATGCCAATGACAGTGCCCTGGACAAGGCCTTACACTATCTATAGCCATGACTTTTCATTGTCTTGCAGGTCTTCTTTTATTGCTCTATTTTGTAGCTCTGAGATAGCATTTCGTGCAACTTTTCTCCAATTCATGTCCAAGCATTCCTACACGTGAAATAAGCTCTATTGAACTCAATTGTTGCACAAATTAGCATCCAAACAAAAAGCAAGTAGGGTAAATAACCTTAAAATATATGAAATTATAGCACGACATCAATTACATTATGACAAACAAAATGCCGTCAAAATTACTATATTGTGTAATTACTAGGTTGTGTAATTACTACCCTAATAATTATACTAATTCCAATTATCGGGTGATTTTCCATAATCCGGAACACAAAATTATGTGTTGTTTGTTAATCATATAGTCCCTGCCCTCGCGGACTTCAGCATATCTATATGGGCTGAGAATGAAATTTCTCATCACATTAGAAGCTTTAACGAACTTTTACAACGAAAATATTTATACATACTCGATATTCATATTAAATTAATGTTAATATAATATGCATTTTTACATATATTTTTATTACTTAATTATGATTATATAACATATGTATTTTCATTTTAAACATCCATTATTTAATTTTGGTATACATCGACTGTAGATAATATTTATTTCTTGTAGACTAGTGCACCTCAATTACTCAATCCCATTTTATCCAAAAGTTCTGGTCAAACCGAGGGGCGGCTCATCACATATTGTGGTCTAAGGCGAAACTATATTCACAGGTCCTTATATTTATTTTATAAATATTTACACTAACAACAAAATTTGCTTTTTAAATACAAATAAATCATTTAAGACAAAAAAGCGAATTTAAAAAAAATTAGGAAAAAGAGCACTAAAAATAAAGTGGTGGACTATCAAATATTGAGGTCCAAAACTCAAAGTGAAAATTTTGATTCACCTATCATCGCAAATAAGAAAAAAAAAAAATAAACGTACATAATGTAATAACTTAAGTTTTGAGTATTGACGGTATAAAAAAATATTTACTCCATCTGATCAATTTAAATAGTAATTGTAGTTCATTCTATTAAGTAGCACTTATTGATGAATATCTAAAATAAATTGTAAATAACCTAATATAATATGTCGAATTACATAAAAGAAAATCGGTGCATGAATGATTTTGTGTTCATGCCGTTTCAAAGAATATTATAAAAGAAAATTATTATGTTGTCGATATATATAACTTAATTCCTATTTTAAAAGATAAAATTAAAATTGAAAAGTGAAGCAAATATACTAATTCATGAGGGAAGAAAATTATCATAATTTATAAATTTATTGTATAAAATAATATCAATCAAGTAACAAAAAATATACTGTAACACTTTTTTTATTCTAATTGTTTATATAAATTACATAGTATATAATAGTAACAATAATAATAAGAATTTAAAATAAATTTAGGGGCCTACGGCAACAACAAAAACTGCACAAGCACGCTATTTGGTCGCCCTCATTTAAATATACCCACTTTTAATTTTTTTTTAACGTGTACCCACTTTTTAAACAATTTCAGACCTCTTTCTCCTCCTCTTCTCCTCCTTCTTCGGGTGACAGTGATTCTATATGGTATTTGTGAACATATTTTAAAGTACTTTATGATGTTTTACACAGGTCAGTTGTTATGATGCTTTTATTTTTACTATTGCTTAGGGTTTCTTCTTCTTCTTCTTCTTCTTCTTCTTCTTCTTCTTCTTCTTAATTGCAAAATGAGTTCGTTACATTTATTGTTGTTTTGATAAATTGATGATTGCGGTTTGTTCCTGTTGATATTTGGAGGCCATGTTTCAAATTTGAGCTCGTATATTTTATTGTTATAATTCGAAGAATATATTTCTATTTTTGGGCAATTTGCACTTTAGGCCTATTTGGCTTTAAGTGCATGAAAACATTAGTTGCACTTTAAATCTTTTTGCCTTAAGTGCATCCAAGTATAATTCACTTCAGAATTATTG